GTGGGGAGAAGCCATTTTGCTGTGATGTATGTAATAAGTTGTTCACTCGGCAGAGTAGTTTGAAGATACATCAGCGCATACATAGTGGGGAGCGGCCGTTTTGCTGTGGCATATGTAATAAATCATTCAGTCGGTGGAGCCATCTGAAGACACATCAGCGCATACATAGTGGGGAGAAGTCATTTTGCTGTGATGTATGTAATAAGTTGTTCAGTCGGCAGAGTGTTCTGAAGACACATCAGCGCATACATAGTGGGGAGAAGCCATATTGCTGTGATGTATGTAATAAGTCATTCATTCAGCTGATTCATCTGAAGACACATCAGTTCACGCATAGTGGGGACCGGACATTTATATGTGACGTATGTAACAAGTCATTCATTTCAAAGAGTTATCTGAAGAAGCATATGTACATACATACTGGGAAGTCGCCATTTTACTGTGATGTAAGTAATAAGTCATTCATTAGAATTATCTGAAGACACATCACTGCATACATAGTGGGAAGAGGTCATTTTGCTGCGCTGTATGTAATAAGTTGTTCAGTCAGCATAGTAATCTGAAGAGACATCAGCGCATACATAGTGGGGAGAAGCCATTTTGCTGTGATGTATGTAATAATTTGTTCAGTCAGCAGAGTAGTCTGAAGACTCATTAGCGCATACATAGTGGGAGCGGCCATTTAGATATGACGTGTAATAAGCCATTCAGTCGGCAGAGCCATCTGAAGAGACATGAGCGCATACATGTTGATGTGTGCAGTAAATCATAGAGCAGTTGAGATGGGTTTAGGCTAAAGGAACAGTATGTGACTTGTAGCATTCCACAGTTTTCCATGTTGTAAGTAAGACAGTTTTGCTGCGTGTGGCATGCTTCAGTTTTGTAGAATGCTACAGTATATTGGAGTTGATTCGTGTTGCTAACCTTTTGAATTGACAAGATGAACTGAGTCCCATGGTACAAAACATCTGTGCAAATGAGTTCCATTTGATTCTGATTGCTGAATGTGTACAATACCCTGTCCTGTTGAGTGGAAACAGACATGACATTCTCATACAGTTATGATGTTAATTGAGCAGTGGAAGCTAATGATTAGTAGAGTGTGGTCACTGAAATGGATCGACAGCTTATACACATAATTCAGCAGCGTTGTATGTTTTTTCTGTATGTTATCTGTGGTCTTCTGTCATTACATGTGAGTAGATTTGCTGATCAGTTAGTTTCAGATTGATATATCGCTTGGATTATGTTGAGATAACTATGAGGGTAAGTCAATAAGTAAGTTACAAATGGATATAGAACTTAAACAAATAAGAGTACTGATTTGAAAAATGCTTTTATTTCTCAACATAACCTCCCTGTACATTGAGGCACTTGTCCCATCATTTCACAAGCCCCCTGAAAACCAGCAGCATAAAATTCTTTGGGCTGCTGTTGGAACCAGGCGGTCACCTTAAACTTCTTTTGGCAGGTGACGCACACTTTGTCTCAAGCTGGTATTGGTGAACCCAAGACTCATTGCCTGTGACAATTCGGGCTAGCATATCGTGTCCTTCATCATGGTAGCGATTGAGATGCTGTAATGCTAGACCCATTCTTTGCATTTTGTGTTGTGGGGTCAGCATGCATAGCACCCATCGTGCACAGACTTTGTGAAAACCTAACCTGTCAGGCATTATGAGGTGGGACATGCTGTGTGAACAACCAATAGCAGTGGCTATAGTGTCTATAGTTACCCTCCTGTAGGGAAGTCGCCTCCTGGTTCTGACAGCAGCCCAAAGAATTTTATGCTGGTAGATCATTGATGGTCATGGTGCAAGGACCGGATTATTATGGCCCACCGCTCATACAATTATTCATTCATTCAGGCAGGTTGCCTTTTGGTGGAAGAAGCTTGAAAAAGATGTTGTTGGTTTAGCAGACAAGAAACTCTGTGACTGCAGACTCAGTAAAATATCCAGCTGTGCTGCCACTGGGTTCACTTTAAGCTCCCAGCAGTGCAGAATATTGGGAGACCACACAATTNCAAAGGCCAGATTATGAGAGGGCATGCCTGTTGTATGACACTGTTTAGCTACATGAGCCAAATACAGCAGTAGGGCCCCAAGGGTTCTGCAAAAACAATGCACTACAGTCCCCACACAAATTATTTTATTGCATACACTTTGAAAAGTATGGTATATTCTAATAATCACAATAAATACCCCATACAAACTCATAAATTGATCATTACACCATAACATTTTAGAAACATGTCCTCTGCTTTAAATTTCCATGTCTTGTAAACTCATGTAACTCTTGCTGAAGTAGCATCTGAAAAGTATAGCATAGCCAAATAAGGAAGTTGCTTGACAAGAATTCAAAGAGGAAATGTGACCTGACCAAATATTATGGTTTGCAACACTGTTAAATTGAACTGATGGCATTCAGCTGAATTGCTGACAACCAGTTTCCTAAAATATTATTTTTTTAACAAGTGAAACGGGTACAATACAATAAACAGAGATGAGCTATGTAAATTACTTGTTCATGTCACAGATTTCTTTATTCATTATCAGGCATCACCAGAAATACCTCTAGTGTGGAAGTGGCAGTTTCTGCACAGCATGCTGCATGTGGAAAAGTCTGCAACCCACTTCAGGACTGTGCTGAAAGGCATCAACAAAGGCACGGTAGAGCTGGTATGTGCACAGAGGGTTTGGAAGTTCAAGGAAGTACATCTTGAGTGCAGATGCAACGGAATGTATGTCCTGAAGAGGTTTCTGATATTCACAGACAACTGGCACCAAATGCTCATGAAATTTATGCCTGTAAAAAATTGAAATTAGCATTAGTAACCTTATATATTAACCCTTATCCAGCTATCAGAAGAACCATAAAAATTGCATCCTAATCAGTTTCACTCCCAGCTTCTTTGTAACTGGCAATTAAAGTGTGTTGGTTGACAACCAATTACCTGAAGACGCGAGAGGCACCAAGTCTTGAAATGCTCTGTATGGCAAATACACCTCACATATTGGACAATGCCCAGCACAGGACTGGTGTCAAAAATTGAGCATTGCCACCGATGTTTAGAGAATCACAAGTAATGAATATCTGCTTGCATGTGTAAATTACTAGGTTAATTATAATGAGTCCACAGAGTTTTCAGTTTGGGAGAATCAAAATACAGCTTTCTAAACAATACAGTCAATAACAGATTTTTACCTGAGCTTCTCAATTTTTGATGTAGAACTGGACCACCCTTATATTCCTCCTACAGTCCCACTGAATTGGACGTATTCCATGCATGCTGGCACTACAAACAGAGAATGTCCATATGTTGAGTCTACTGAAACAAAATAACCTTCGATTCACAACATTAATTGATGTGAGGATCTGATCCTGTTTTGTGCAAGAATTAACTCAGTACAGCTTATTTTACAAGACCCATTGCAGTTTTATCTTCACTTCCATCTTCCATTTTCTCAGCGTCAGCCTAGGAATGGAAGTGCAATGTGGATAACCCTCTCTACTGCTGGAATCAGAATCTCAAAGCCTGCATTCAGATGTATTCACTTACACTGCTTCCTTCTACCACAGCTGATCCAGTCTGATCCTACATAACTACACCTATTTGAATGGCCCTCTCCACATAATTTGTATGCTTCTCCAAGTATAATTACAGTACAATTCTTTATTAGAGTCCGTTGCAACACAACAATACAATGGTGAAGGCGAAAATTAGCTTAGCTACATGTTTCGGCTATTAAAGCCATCATCAGGCAAACACATGATTACCATATTCACACACTACTGAACTGCAATTGCGATAGTGAAGCTGGATATGTTGATAATTACTGCATTATAAAATACATTGTATATAAATACAATGAACTATAAACTTATTATAAAAACGAAAGTTATGGCATAAAATAAGGTCAAAAACTCTTCATGTGATATTCCATATCATCAAGTCACTTGTTGCAATTTTGTTATATTCCCGCAGACATAATGGTATATTCTAGACTTTTATACATGCAAAAAACTGCTTGGAGGCCCATGGTATACATGTAGTATAGATTTGACATTAATTGTATAGCCGGTACCTCATCTTACAATGTATTTTTTCGGTTCTGTAGGGAATATAGATTGCAACTAGATAACCACCTATGATTAAACTGTGCTTGCCAGTTCATGTGCCATTCACTGCACCCAACTACTGGATGGATTTCGATCAGACTTGGTATTGTAGGTAAAAGTAAAAAATTAAAGTTATCCCTGTAAGTGGCTGTGGAGACCCATAGGGTTGTGAGACGTTGAGGCTCCCACACTTTCTACACAATCAGCTTACAGAGAGTGGTGAGGTTATCAGCCTTATGCGCCAGCTGCCCTTTACCCCCAGGAAGATTCCTTGTACTCATTTCCACTCATTTCTGTTACAGACTGAGTCAACTTGAGGGCCGTAGTGTTGCTGGAAGGGTTAGGTCAACTGCAAAATCCAATGACATTGGGAATCAAACCCACGATCTTCCAACTTGTAGCATAAAGCTAATTTTGTCCCCCTGCTTAATTAATGAAGAACTTTGCCAAGAAGATACAGGAGTGGAGGTATAGCTTGCATCATTCTTGACCTGAGCACTCCCTGGCTGCTTTACCCACAAAGAAAGAGCCCCCAGTTGTAATGCTCTAAACTTTTATTTATTTATTTTTTTCCCTGTCACAATAGGGCTTAATCTTGTACTCTGGAGGTGCTCAATTCCATGCTTGATTGGGACAGCAGCTATGCTGACTGATGTTTCTCACAGTTTTGCTCAGTCCCTCCAGATGGACAAATACTGGGATAGTACCTCAATTAGGCCAGAACCAGTTCCTTCCAAATCACTTCCATTTCATCATTCATCAACCTACCAAATGGAGCACAATGAAGGAGCAGTAGTAGAAATGTACATGAGAGCCAAAGTGGTAGGGGCTGACAAGAGTAGCTGCACGTGTAATTCATTGGGTAGGTGTAGAAGTTTCTAGCTTGGCTGCAGATAGGTAGATGAAGCTTCTCATAACACTGAAATAAAATGACTGATAACAAAAGCACCTAAAATAAGAGTCACTTGTAATGGACTGTACAACATCAGCATTTTGTTACTTATTTCTCACAATATTTTAACAGTATGGAATATAATCACACACAAAGTGTTTGTATCCCAGTCATCAAAGTCTGTAGGTTTTAGACAACAGATAATTCATCCTGACTTTATTACACTTGAACATAAATTATCATATTCCAATTACTGTACTCCAATAAAAATTTTTACAATAAATTGAAATTAACTTCACTTTACAAGCAAATAACATCCTAATCAAAAAGACATCATTACCTTAAGTGCCTGGCAATATGCTATAAACAGCATTCTTTTGGTACTGAGAGTCATTTTTCTACATAATTTATATATCTGCATAGAGCACCAACTGCCGTACAATACATTCAGCATTGTTTATAGACAATTTTCACTTTTGTACATTATTGCTAATATTACTGCACTGAGACTGCTCATAAAAGTCCTAAGGATGGCGAAGATGAAACCACTCAATGCTTTCCTCTTTCTGCTTGTTGTATTCCCCTCCAGCCCTCTCTGTCCTATGTCATCCACCCCAAAGCACTTATCAGTAGAGGTTATCATGTGATTATCAATACCAACGTTCCACTCAGTAGTATTTTTACATATGTGGAGGGGAATGTAAAGAAGTATGCTGCAGGGGGAAGCATAACAGCTAGGAGAAATTGAGGAGAGTAGTCACATATAAGGCTTCTTTCCCTGACCGTTGTAGAGCTGATGAAACAAGGATTTCAGGTTATACCACTCTACCTCCCCCAACCCTAAAGGAATATACGAGGAGCATTCCGTATATAATGCCTCATATTTTTTAATGAAAACTACAACAGATACAGAAAGTAATAACGCAGTTAAACAGAGCAAGATTTCAGCTACATACAGTTATTTTTCCACATAATCACCACCATTCGTTATGCACATTTGCCAGCGATGAACAAGAGCCTGTATGCTGTGCCAGTAAAAGTCTGCGCCAGCAGAGGCTAGCCACTTTCTTACAGCTACAATGACAGCATCATTGTCTGGAAAATGTTGCCCACGTAGTCCATCTTTCATAGGCCCAAAGAGATGGAAGTCTGAAGGTGCTAAATCGGGGCTATAAAGTGGATGTGGTAGGACAGTCCAGCCAAACTTTGCAATGTACGCGGTGGTCACTGAACTGGTATGGGGTATAGCGTTATCGTGTTGCAAGCAAAAGGTTGTCTGCTTCTTTGGCCTGACTCGGGAAATGCGGGGATTCAGCTTAGTCAGCGTCATCTTGTAGTGTTCAGAATTTACAGTCTCACCAGGCCCAAGGAAATCCAACAAAATCACACCCTGCCTATACCAAAAGATGGTGCACATCACTTTCCCTGCCGATGGCTGTGTCTTGAACTTCTTTTTTCTTGGGGAATCCAGATGTCACCACTCCATGGACTGTCTTTTGGATTCCGGCTCATAGTGGTGACACCATGTCTCATCTCCGGTGACAATGATGTCCAGAAACTTGTCACCTTCAGCCTCAAACTGGTGCAACAGGTCCTGACAGACTTCCATTCGATGAGTTTTGTGGTCCTGTGTAAGCATCCGCGGGACCCACCTCGAACAAACTTTGTGATAATCCAGCTTCCCCAATATAGTTTCCAATGCATTACAGCCGTTATTAAGCCATGCACACAATTCCCTTGCCGTTAACAGCCGATCTGTACAGATGAGCTGATCCAGGTGCTGTTCATTGTGAGGAGTGTCAGTTGAGCAGGGACACCCAGGGCATGGCTTGTCATGCACTTCAATTTCGCCACTGTTGCACTACCCACTGTCAATGGATGTCAATGGGTGCAATTTGTTCGGCAGGGAGAAATTCAATAACACATCTCTGTTTCGTACACACTTCTATATCAGACGCAATTTTGGCAGACTGCTCTGCTGTCGCACGACAAACAAACTAAAAGTACATTGGCGGTAAGGTTCAACCTTTACTACAACACCACCAACATCCAGCTCAGATGTTACATATTAACACAAAAAAATAGGAGGCGTTATATACAGAACGCCCTTCGTATATATAGTATTCAGTAATGAACATTTCTGTTACTTTCCTTTAATTTATAACAGTTACAAAACACGACTACATAATACCTCACTGAAGAAATACATTCACTTAAAAATTCCCATATCTTGAACATAAATTTTCATTCATTAACTAATTATATCTAGGAAATTTTTCATATCTTAAAGTGTAATGAATGCCATTATAATATCAATATTACATGTGATATTACATTAAACAAAACTGACACTTCATAGAAGTGAAATTGTATAAATTAAGTTTAAAGCAGCTATTGTACAAATTAAGAAGAGTGACTTGGTAAAGAAAGAACAGTTGACAATCATGTTCCAACAAGTCTGCAGATGGAAGAACATACAAGATTCATTTTATAAATTTATACCAGTACAGATAGAACAACAACAAAATATACATAGCTTCTTACCACCACCTTTTATTAACCTCAAATAATTCTTTTAAAATGTGCGTCAGAAATTGCAACCTCTCCAAATCATTATCAATATCTAATTATTACAATAAATGTACATGGCAGGCAAACAAGACATTTGCATTCATATATATGTACATAAAAACTGATGCCTCATACCCTTATGAGGTTGAAATGTGTCACACATAATTAAAAGCATAACATAAATATTAAGCAGTCATTACAGTTAATATATTATATGCATTTTCACATTATGTTATAATTTGATGCCATTTATAAAATTATATTGCATAATGTTATATACATTTATGTTACTGGCCAGATGTTTTATTACAACAGTCTTCTAGCTGAAAAGTATACACATGGAATAAAAATCATTTCCTGTTCTACCATCACCATCCTCTGGCACTTCCTTCTTAGGACTTCATGAAATCTATGAATATTTACCTTACTATGGGTTCTATCTCGAATAAACAATAGTTAATTACATTTCCAAAAAACTAACTAACTTACATTATAGAATCGGTATTTTGAGGTATATATATACACTTTTGAAGCTACTGGAAAATGAGAAGTGAATAACAAATACAGTATAAATTGAAAACAAAAAATATTCAAGTCAATGTAAATTAGCAATGTTTAAAGTTTGGTGCCAACAACTGAAATGATTCCATATATATAGTGAAGCAGTAAATTTAATTTGCACACACTGATCATGTCATGAAACTTACAACCTAAAAGTCATATAATTATCTGAAAAAAGCTATCTGTAATACAAAAGAACCTTGTAGATTGTTTTGACAAACCACAACAAAGCATGCCATACACAACAGTGTCATATAATAACTCCAGAATACCCAAGACCAACCTGCTCTCAGAGGACCTACCATCTAAACTGTTGAGCAATTTAAACACACACATGCATTAATGCAACATGAGACCCCTTTATACATAACTAATACAATACTGAAAAGTCATATACTTAGGAAACTCAAGACATACTCTCAAAATGACATCCTCACACCACAATCTTACAATTTACTCTTAATAAGAATGATTTTTGAAGTGGGAAAACAAAATATGAATGTGTACTGTTTTATATATGATAAACATTATCAGTAATTAAGATGTTTCCAGAAACTATCTTGCTTGAGGATCATATAGAAATATTAATCTTGCTTGATGATCATACAGAAATATTTAAGGGATAAAAATATTGAAATACATGGCATGGAGGTTTTTAAAGCCCTTCAAAAACTAAACATTTCAGAAACTTCATATTGTGACATGTTGCGCAATGGAGGACAACCCGTCACCCTGCCAGCAGTGACGTAACATTTTCGGAGCGTTGCCGTTGCTACGGTAATAAGCCTCCCCCGCCTCTCCCACTTCTGACACCAAAATGTCACGTGTTGGGTGTATAACGCGACAAATAACTTCACACCTCACTGGATATAGCGAATTTTATTTTACATTCGCTCTTACAATCACACAAATTACAATCTGACAATTACTGCCATCGGCAGTATCACAAATACTAGACTGCAAATGCTAGACTACAACTGAAAGGTTGACTCCCTGGCTAACTCATAACTTGAGAACTAACTGTGAATAGTCTTCGCTGCTCCTTATTTAGCCTCGTTCCGGACAACACAGAAAACAGCCACGTAATAGGCACCACTGTTGTCTGGCGCCGTGTTGCTAGCAACGCTGTCAGGAGTTGTTTCCTGCTGTGTAGCAACGGCAGCATCCCGTGTTACGTCACCGCGGGGAGAGGCGGGGTGTTGACTGGCTTATTACTGTAGCAACGGCAACGCTCCGAAAGTGTTATGTCACCACTGGCGGGGTGAGGGGTTATCCTCCATTGCGCAACATGTCACAATATTATTAATGTGACTTAATGACCATTCTGACAGTATACAAACAAATTTAGACAACTCTGAGCTTTTGTTCGTGCTTCTTACTTGGCTATACTGTTATCATATACACAGATTACAAAACTATACATAGCAAATTGCACAGAATTCCAACTTCCATCTACGATAAGAAGTTCCATATTATGAACATTTTTCTGATGTAAACCCATTTTATATTATAAGAAAAAGGAACAGAAATAACCACTGACTTTTGTCCCCAGTAAACTTCACACAGCCACATTAATATGAACCATATTTGTTCTAAAAATTTCCATTTTTAGTTACAAAAGTAGTGAACTTGTGTTACTGGAACCTACAAGTTTGCAGAACTAAATATACATTTCTGATACCAAGATAAGACACAGATTAACATAGGGCTGCTAAAATCGAAGCTAGTATAATACATAGTGGAAGCAGAACATGCTTCCTTTTATGACATGACTAAAATAATCTTAATAAAAATCAGGATTTTCCTGTAAATATGAAAATTTTAAAAGTAAATGTAGTTGACTTATTTAGGTATACATTAAAATAATTTTTCTTATGACAATAATGACTTGAGAGAATGACAAGAATTTTTAAAATAAAAAAAATGAAGATACCTTATTATAAAACTAATGTACTATGCATTAAGACAATAAAAGCCAAAGTACCAGTAAAGGGGTCTGTAAGTCATACACATGTATGGAGGTAAAATATGAATAATTCTGTAATGAATTTATGATGTTTATTCATAACTGATATGAAGGGCACTAATACCATGCACCAATGAGCTTGTAAAGTGTAGTGCGGTTTAAATGCTATCACGCTCAGTGAAAATCAATCGGATTCATGGTCATATGTAGGGGTGACTTAAGAGATAGATTTTGGATTAGATTTATTGCACCTTATAGATTCACACAACTCGGAACTACAGGCAATACATTGCTATCGCTATTCTACACACTTTCCAGTTCCCTATTACACGCAAACTACGGTTCTCAGTCTTCACTAGTCATACCCTGGCAATGGATTTATAATCTCACTGTAACTTCAAATTACATATGAAGTCTTCTTTGCACAGTCTAATTCATTTTTTGTCATTATTCAGCAGCTGCCAATTCCAAAGATTTGACTCAATTCAATTCCTCTGCTCCCAAGCTCATATCCTGGCAGGTTGGCATCCTGAAACTTGACTCTTCACTTCCAACTACTGTTCTATACTCGATTACTCTTACTCTTACTCTTGGTTTCATCTTCTGACTGTGTCCTTTTATAAACCCTCGGACCTAGTTACCCTAAGAGAGGAACAGCTAAACAACTCAGACATAGGGCCTATTCTACAGGAAGTAGAAACCGGGCAACGACTGGAGTGGAACGATATCATGGATCAGAGTCCCACATACAAAAGCTACTGGGCTCAGTGGAAATCGCTTGCTGTGTGAAATGGCATACTAGAGCACAACTGGAAATCTGCCAACAGACGATATCAAGAACCCAAGATTCCTCAGAGTAGGGTGAAGGACGTGCTGATCGATCTACACAGTGGACCATCAGGAGGTCACTTGGGGGTCAATAAAACCCTAAATAAGGTTTGGCAGCGGTACTACTGGCTCCTAGCAAGGAGTGACATCAAAAAATGGTGCCAACAGTGCAACACCTGCGCAGCCAGTTTTGGCCCACAGACTAGGAATAGGGGCCAAATGCAACAGTACAATGCCGGGGCCCCATTTAAAAGGATAGTAATTGATGTAGCTGGACCATTCCTGCAGAGCGAACAAGGAAACGGATATCTCCTGATCGTAATGGACTATTTCACAAAATGGCTGGAAGCCTACGCCATCCCCAACCAGGATGCATCGACAATAGCGGAAGCTCTGGTCACCAATTTCTTCTGCCACTTTGGCATACCTCGAGAATTGCATAGTGACCAAGGCCACAACTTCGAGTCTCATCTACTACAATGCCTGGGAGTGAGCAAGATGCACACCACGCCCATTCACCCGCAGTCGGACGGCATGGTGGAATGCTACATTAAGACCATCGAGGAGCATTTACGAAAGGTCGTCGCATCCCGCCAGAGAGACTGGGATGAGAAGTTACCCTCTTTCTCCTAGCTTACAGGGCATCCACTCACGACACTACGGGCTTGACCCCAGCTAACCTAGTGTTCGAACGAGAACTCCGACTGCCCTGCGATCTGCTGTTTGGAGCAACCCCAGACAAGGAACTACCCACAACCGACTATGCGGTAGACTTAGTGGGTCACCTATACGACATCCACAATTATGCCCGGCAACACCTAAAGCTCGCCAGTGACCAGATGAAAACTCTATACGATAAACTAGCCAACTCCACAGGGTTCTACAAGCATGACAGTGTGTCGCTGTACCACCCAGCCTGCAGAAAAGGGAAATCACCGAAACTACAATCCTCGTGGGAAGGCCCTTACAAGGTAATCAACCGAATAAATGACGTGGTATACAGAATCCAGAAGAACCCTAGGTCAAAGATGTTGGTAGTACACCTGGACCAGCTCGCGCCCTACCATGGAGTTGCTCGAGACGAGCACCCTTAAAAATAGGAGGTCGGAGGTACCAAGCAAAAGATAAACACCTGAAGGAAGGGAGGCACCATTCAGCTGTTCGGAGATGAACAACCTTTAAAAGGGAGCAATGTAACATGCTTGGAGAAGATACTTCCCTGGTAACACAACAACAGTGGGCCGTTGGGTAGAGAATGCCGAAACAATGAATGCATTTCTCTGGAGATGAACTACAGAAGATTTGTTGCGGAACAACAGACTGTCAAAACAGCAGGAACAGAACCGTGAGGAATGGTGTCTACTATCCGGTCCGCATAACACCTATATAAGAGTTGGAAGATAGCCGGCGGAGAATGCAGTTGAAGTCTAGCATTTGCTGAGTGAAGTCAAGAAGTGACCACAGCAGAAGGATTGACTGTGACAGTGTAAAGGGTGTATAAGTGTAAAAGAGAAGGAGAATAAATAACCACTGAATCCGAAGGCTACATGAAGTATGTGTCACATGACATACCCAACACGTGACAATACATTATTAATTGTTGTGTTGTGACAGCTTTCAATAAGGAAATATATAATACACAACAGGATGCCTTCACTGAAAATGCTATTACATTATGTTACCTGTACAGCGGTTTCACTGTATGTACCCCTCTCTTTAATTTCTTTTGAGATTGTAAATTTAAAAAATAAAATGATAGTTGGGTTCAAGGTACTAACAACAGTAAATATGAAGATTAAGGTCTTCAGGGTTGTAATGCTATGAAACCATTTTGGAGGATCCTGCTGTATCCAGTTCTACTGTCATTTGAAGTAACAGTTCTGAGAGCATCTCTCAGGATTGTCTTTGAAGACCACATGCTGCTACACCTCTTAAAGTCTCCCAAGTACCAATTTCATACACAACAGATCAAACTCACAAGTTATATTTTTAAACATGGATCAACATCACATGAAGTGACACAACTCAGCAATCAAAGATAGAGAGCTAAAATTCCTCAGTACAAATAAGAAAAATTATGTGACTGTTCTTCAACGCAGGTCTTCAATAGATTTATATTTGATCCTTGCTTTCTTTATACTTGAAATACAATATGAATGTACTAATTGGCAATAACATTAAAGAACACCAGACATGGAAGCAATCAAAATGCAGCTCTTCAATCAGATTCTATTAAAACAGAATATTTTTGTCAGTAGTAGGATTCTGCAAGTTTATTTGCAATAGTTGAAATACAAATCAACATGTTTTGACCGGACACATTTGCAATCACAGCCTCACACACACACACCTTGTGTGAAAACTACAATGCTCTTCTGTGCTTCTGTAAATCAGTTCACTTCATATTATGTTGTTCATTTCTGCTGTATGGCTGAGTGTCACACCCCATTGGGGTATGTGTGTACTACAGGAGGCTGAAGAAGGTCACAATACTGCAGCAGAGCCTCTCTCAGTGAATGTGAAACTTGTGTGGATGCTGTTGCTGTGCAGTCCACCAGATATGGATACAAAGCAATCAGTTGTTCCCATGATGATCTGTCAACTGCACAAATAATATTTTAAAACAACACTGGCATTTATAAATAATGTTAAGTATTAGGTTTATGAGAATATGAAAAGTGCAACATCTGTATTCATCTTGGGATTTATAAATAAAGTAAACAGAGATGTTGCACTTTTCATGATATAACACTAATATCTCAACCCTTTACTCCTGCTAACACAGTAAATGCAACAAAATCAGAATGCCCCTGATACTTCCAAAATACTGAAACCTGATACTAGTGCCAAAAATGCACAATCTCAGAATCACAGAAGTGTTGCAGAGGCATCTACTGCTGCACAACAGCTTGTTAAACATGTTTCCATGGCAATGAATATGGACACAAGTCAGAAAGAGCATTTCCTAATTGGTTCACAATTAGCCAATATAAAGCAGCTTGCCAGAGCCAGCACAAAAGGTGATGACAATGTGCTGCATTAGGGGGAAGCTGTAATTTCAGCAAAGTACCAAGCAAGAGTGATACAACAGATTGTAAAATGACTGTGAATACTTGTAAACTGTGTAATTATTTGTAAAGATGATTCAGTGTCAAATTAATCCAGTTACTAATCCAAACCCTGTCTGTAATCACTAATATGTGGCTATATACATAGATCATACATGTGGCAATGATTTAAACAGTATGCTGTAAAACTGTGAAAAGGGAATTGTAATAAAGTGTATATGGACAATTGCAAGTAATAAACTGCACTAGAACGCAGTAAAATCAAACATAGATCTGATCAAATTTCATGTCAGTGTGGCTACAGAACACACCTTCCACTGATGGTAAGTAGAAAAGACAAGCTGTGTCCCATGTCATCACACTGCACCTTTGCCCAGCCAAGTGCTGAATTACAGTAACCAAACACTGAAGGAAAGTTTGAGCTGAGCATGTTCTCATCTACCGTGCCATATTGACTTCATTCTCAAAAGTCTTTGAAAAAGTTATGTATAATAGACTACTTGAACACTTAAATTCTAACAACATATTAGTCAAAGAGCAATTTGGATTTAGGAAAGACCTAACAACAGAAAAAGCAACCTATGAACTAACTAACGATATTTTAAGTGCTCTCAATGACAGATTAATTGTGGGAGGGATTTTCTGTGATCTAGCAAAAGCTTTCGATTGTGTTAATCATGATATCTTACTATCAAAATTAAATTTCTATGGAATAACT